GTGTATAAAAAAAAACTGAACAGATTTGAAATCGCTCTCAATTTCGCAAAACACCTATTTGTATCCTGTTTTTTATATATATAGCTTCTTTGGGTACTTAGAATGTAGAATAATGAAAAAAAATTCTCAAACTCGAATTTGGTGAACCAGGGGGGGTGACTTTTCCAACAAAATAAAAATGGCTCGCGCACAACATTTAAAAGTTTTAATCATATTTTGAGTTAATAGATGGAAACTTTGTTTGGTTTTTAATTACTGTCCAGAATTTCAGACAATTTGGTTTAGTTTAAGCCGTTTAACTATTCATTTTATTCTAAAAAATCAGCCTTTCGCATGCTTAATTAATACATTTACCTACTTTGCATATTGCTAACATATGCAAATTAGGCAAATGCATTAATTAAGCATGCAAATAGCTGATTTTTAGGAAAAATGTAACTTTGCGTGAATAGTTAAACGGCTTAAACTAAACCAAATTGTCTGAAATTTTGTACAGTAATTAAAAACCCGACAAATTTTCCATCTATTAACTCAAAATATGATTACAGCTTTTAAATTTTGTGCGCAAGCCATTTTTATTTTGTTGGAAAAGACACACCCCCCTGGTTCACAATATTTGAGTTCAAGAAATTTTTTTCATTATTCTACATTCTAAGTACCCAAAGAAGCTATATCTATAAAAAACCGGATACAAATCGGTGTTTTGCGAGATTGAGAGCAATTTCAAATCTGTTCAGTTTTTTTATACACCCTGTATAGCGAGAAACGAACACACAATGTCAGAGGTGAAAGGCGCTTATACTTTGACGACCACGCCACCGAATATTAATAGTCTTGCCGAAATACATTGTGTCTCTTTTAGTTGGACCCATGCAGGTTTTACTCCGACAATTTTTACTCGAACGTTTTTAAATCACCTTTAATCTCATGCAGCATGCATGCCTAAATATAAGAAAAACCGAACCTGTTGATTCATCACTTGTGCATCCTAAAACCATTCTGGTTTATTATAAGGCTTTCCTAGTTAACATATAAAATAATAATCGATCCTGTTTGAGTTAACTTAATATTCCTGCTTAAACTTTCTCATCATTCATAATTTTTGCTATATTCTGGTTAATTTGACCGGAAATTGCTGGTTAGATTAACGCGATCCTATATGCTAGTCAGGCATTGGTAAATTAATAATCAGGAAATCTGGTTAATATATATGTCCACTCGGCATAGTTTGGTTATCTTAACTGGACTTTTGGCCAAATATAACCGGACGTTAGCCACATGATTACGGTACAGGAGGTATGGTCTTTTAACCCAAATAGTGTTAATTCTGGTCAACCGGAATATTATAACCAGATTTCAATCAGAGTTGGCATGTTTTAAGGTGTGTATACTGTAGATAGGTCAGGGCTCCAAATGGCATTTTTCTCGTGCCTGGGGTTAGCCTAATATTTGTTTTAATTCCATAATTTTACAATTTTTTTATTGCGCAATAAAGCACGCGAACCGCTTATTTTTTATTAAATAACTGTACATTTTATTACAAAAAGCCTCTGGCGGCTGAGGAGAGTGTATACCAAACTTGAAACGTTGAAACCACTTGGCATAGGGTTTGTGCAATAAATTCATGGGTTTGTGCAATAAATTCATGTCGAATTATTATCGTCTACGACGTTCTATCACGCCAGTGGCAGTGATGTTCCTCTATAGAACTTTACAATAACAATAACAATAACAATTACGATCAAACCATACTTATATTAGACACAAGACAAAAAGCGTTCTGCATATATATTCTATTAATCTATACCTTAAATCTTTGAATGCAAATTATTACAACCTGACAATGAGACAAATAGGTATGTAAGGCATGCAGATGTTTACTTGGCCGAGGAGTTTGGCCGTTTGGGAAGGTTGAGAACAACCTAATTTTTAGTGCGCAAGGACCTAGAAACAACTTAGTGTTTTGTGCGCAAGAGCCTGAGAACAACCTAGAGTTGTTAAAACTAGGTTGTTCCCAGTTTTCTCGCATTAAAAAATAGGCAATTACGTCTTGTCACGGTTGGAAGCTAATGCATTGACAATCGTAATAAGATTATAATGAAACATGATCTGACTATCTTGAGATTTTTGGATCATGAAGACAATTCGTAAGTTGCTTGTAAATTATTTAAAAATTCTAAAATATATAAGTTATTATAATAGATTTCAATGTACATTTAACAGTTTACTGCGACCTTTAACTGCCATGTTTCAAAGCCTAGTTTGTGCTTTACTTCCAGCCTAATTTTGGAAAGTTTACAAAATAATTGCCTAAATTGGAAACTTTCTGAAAGTGGGGTTTCCAGGTTTAATGGGCAGGATTTGGAACTCTGGATAGGTTGCCATATTTTTATGTAAATTTCTCCCTGCGTGTGTGTGTTGGGGGCGGGGGGTATATTTCCTACAAAATTTGGCGCAGAAGCGAATTTTATAACTTTCAATATTTCTTGTTACGCGGGATTGCTTGAAGATTTAAAAACACTGCTAGGCCTAGTCTAGGCATGTCTCCATGAATGAATTTAGTTATGTATTGTTACTTTAAAATTGATGGGAGTGGTATGATCTCTACTGTTAGAACTTCTTACAATTCTATCTGCAGTTGAATACACGTTATAATTGTAATTGAATGAACTATTTTTACCTAACAAGTGTCATTGGTTTGGCGATCGAGAATGATGAAAGTGGTTCAAAACGTCAAGCACAATCCTACAACTTGCATCTGAAACCTGTTCCAGGAGGCGTGAAAGGTAATTAGAATATGTATAAAAAAAATTCATTAATTTATTAGCGATTCCCAGCAGCCTTTCGCGCTCGTACTCGACTTTTCCGCCGGCTTTGCTCTGGGGACAACCTTAATTGAAATAGCTGTATATACATGCATAATTCTCTGGGTTTGCACTTTGCAATCAATATATCGGCAAGAACACGTAGAGCAATTTACAAATTAGCGACATGATGTTGGTATGCAAAATGCTTTCTGTCAAGAAAATAGTCATTCGTCTATGTTTAGGTTGTGAGGCTAAAGGCCGAGACATAAAGAAGCAATTTGAGAACGCTGCGCAATTTGTTGATTTTAACTGGCTGATAACTTTGCGGGAGGGGAGACTGCCCCCCTCCAACCCCCCCCCCACAACTTTTACAAATTAGAATATTCATAACTACATCCTATAGAATAAAAAACATGTACTTCTAAAGGGCATATGATTCGGAAATTAACGTCGTTATTTTTTAGTCTCATTTGAAAGATCATTGAAAACTGTAGAGTAACTTCTTTGACAGATTTTTGCTTTCTTACTTCGTTTTGGAGATATTTAATTTTGTATGATATGCAAAGGATCAACTTTCTACGACACACATGAATAATGACTTACTTTAAAATGTTGTATAATTTTGTCACAATCAAATAAATTCGCTCAAAATGAATGACGAGCGCAAGATTTGTCCACAACAACACCCATGTAGGTTTTCTACTGATTGTGTTTAGTCGTATTAAAGATATACAGCTTTTAAGGATAAATCATTATGGGTATGTGACGTAGAAAGTTGGTCCTTTGCATATCATACAAAATGAAATATCTTCAAAACGAAGCAAGAAAACAAAAATCTATCGAAGAAGTTACTCTAAACAGTTTTCAATGATCTTTCAAATTAGACTAAAAAATAATAACGTCAATTTTCGAGTCATATATGCTCCTTAATACTAAAGATAACTACGTGGTCAAAACTACTCAAAAGACTGAAAATTGTATTGTCTTCCTGAAGCACCAGCAAAAAGTTCAAAAAAATTACGAGAGTGTACAGTCAGTTCAACTTAGTTTTGACACAAAGAAAAAGGGGAGGAGTTCACTACCTCATACAGTACCTTTAGCCGTTTCCTATTATATAGTATTATTTTCAGCAAAGAGTTGTTTGGACCACTACAAGTCAGGAAAGAGATACAGTGACATTTACCAAATCAATCCTGATGGTAAAGGCAGCTTCGCTGTAATGTGTGATATGATTGGAAAAGGATGGACCGTGTTTCAACATCGCTATGATGGATTCCTTGACTTCTACCGTAAATGGAAAGATTACAAGAAAGGATTTGGTAGTTTGCTTGGCGAATTCTGGCTTGGATTGGAACAGCTTCATCGCATTACAACCAGTCGGCGATATAAACTTCGAATCGACCTGGAAGATTTCAAAGGAAATAAGAGATATGCCGAATACCGTTCCTTTCATGTTGGAAGCGAACATGATGGGTTTCGGTTGAGTATTGGTGCGTATTCAGGTAAATATTCCTGATCAAACTATATTTGGAATAATATAAATATATAAAAAAGGAACAATGTTAAAATATATGGATCAATTAAATTCTAGTAAGAAATGACAAGAAAAATTGTAGGATATACTTCATGCCAAAAAATCGCACATCGTGTCAGCAAAAGAATATATACTCCAAAAATTGTAAACATTTTCATTCTTTGCGTTTCGACTATATAAAAACTATTAACTATAAGTAGTTTGAAAAGAAAGTATTTAGAAAATGGCACGTATCTTAATGTGTCAGCAAAATGTGTTCGCAACTGTAAACTGGCTTGTGGCCAGCTTGTAGCCTTGTAAACCATTTCTAACAATGTTGCCGTTTCATCAAGTTTCTACAAGGCTGAAATGTTTTAGACAACTCCCTTGCTATGAACGACTCCCCCTCCCCCTCCCCCTCCTCCAGAAAAGTATGAAAGTTTATCATCTCTGACAATATACAGGATACGTTGAGAAGCCAACGTAATTTGGTCTACGATTGTTAAATTTTATTGATTATACCTATAAACCAGATTACCAATCGAAAACATTGATATTGATATTGTAACTGACTAGATGGACTTAATCTTCAGGTAACGCTGGTGATTCATTGAGCTATCATAATGGTGCGCAGTTTACAACGAAAGATGCTGACCACGACCGCAGCTATTGGGCAAATTGTGCCCAGTCTTTTCATGGCGCATGGTGGTACAACCGTTGCCATAATTCCAATTTAAATGGTTTCTATTATCGCGGTGGAAAACATTCCTCTTATGCTGATGGTATAAATTGGTATCACTGGAAGGGTTACCAATACTCCATGAAAACAGTCACGATGAAAATAAAAGAAGTCTGAAGTTTCATGAAAAATTTTAACATTGATTTCAAATGATCTAGTTTTCGTTAAGCTTGTAGGCAAGCATAATGTGGACAATGAATTGTGTAATTAATAGAAAATAAATTTCATTCCTGAAAACATACAGACATCTTGTTTTTCTTTCGATTTCTGCACATAGTGTCTAAAATATATGTTCGTATAGTTAGACGACTACGATTGTTTCTTATTAGTGCTTCTGTCTGCGTGTCTGTCTGTCCGTTCGTTCGTTCGTCCTTCCGTCCGTCCGTCCGTCCGCGTAAACAACGACGAAGATAAAAACAAGAAAAATAAGAAAAAGAAAAGCAACAAGGACAAACAAACCATTCCTACTGCTCATGAAGGAAAAGTCCAACAAGACAAATCGCACGACGATAAAAATTCAATCTCTATGGAAACCGGTGTTGGTTCTAACCACTGAGCTATACTATATTACTGGAGGACCTGCTCGGGATAAAAAAGTGTCGCCAAAAACATGGCGGATCTTACGCCATTTCCATGACAACACTTACTTTATTTTCATGGTAATTGCCACTGACCAACCGCGATCCTAAGCTTCCGACGATGTCCTTAACCCCCCTGGTTTTTGGGAAAAAAATATTTGATTCAATAGAGATACAAAGTTTTCTGTTGTTTTTGAGCTAAAAAATCTTAATATTTCCCTCGAACATCACTTGTTTTACAACGCGGAGCGAGGGTACGGGTTTGCCTCGCTTGTGGATGCAGCATTTTACTACAAAGAAAGACTAATTTTTCAGGTAAGATTCACGAAACTTTTTTATAACTTTCTGGACGGCTAGACCCTTTATATTATGTCAAAAACTCATCATCCTAATATATACAGCAAATATTTCAATAGGGGACATAAAAGTATTGTTAACGATTAAACATTGTGTACATGAAATTAATATGTTGTTTTGTGTCAGCACTGACCTTTGTGGTTTTATTGCCAGTTTTTAATTTATACTAAAAATTGTGGTTGTTTACATGTTCATATATTTTAAAACGTTTATTAAATATGGTGTGAAATTTATATACTTGCCCATCACAGTGCAGAATTAGTATATATAGATAAGCACAAGACCAGAGAGAGTTGAGTCATAGAGGAGGCCCACCTACATGTGACAATGCATGTGCCCTAGTGTCCTGATGACTGATGAGCCCTAAAGACTGTATTATTTTACTCTGTCTAATGCCAGACCATTCTAAGGGGATTGAGACTGCTCCCTGCTGTCACACAGTGGGTTAATTTAATACACTATCTGTAAATGAGCAGCCCCTGAGATATATAGTCAGCCCATTGAGCTGCAATGAACCCTGGCTACTTTCTTATTTTACTCAGTCAATCTGTGAGATTAAATGCAGATGTTTTACCCGTCAAGGGAAGAGTCTTAAAAATAGATATCATTTTGCCTTTGTCTGCTCAGAACTATATAAAACTATATATAGTTTTACTTACACAGCTTGTGGGCAACACAAATGTTGCCCACAAGCTGCCAGGATTTAAGTGAGTCACTGATCATACACTAATCATGAGGTAAATTCAGAATGCTACAACATTTCTAACAAGGGCGGATTTTAGGAGGGGTAGAAAAATTTTTGGTGGGGTGCAAGCGCGCACCACTCAGTGAGCTTTGGCAGGGGTTAGACGTTTGGGTTAAAGCCTTTCACACAAAATGGGAAGCTAGGATAAAGCAAAATTTTGGTGGGGTTGAACACTTTATTACAGGGGTTTAACCCCCCCCCCCAAGTAAATCCACCCATGATTTCTAACATTGGGAATAGTGATGTCCGATTGGCCATGACACAGCCTGTAAGAAATTATGATGAAATTTGCTCATACTGTAATAGGTTTGACATATTTTATCAGTTAGTTAGGAATGTAACAATTGCATTATTATTACTGAATATAATATTTTTATTACTGAATATTGACACGACATTTAATTTTGAAGCTCGGCTCAATGGTCTTGGTAAAAACAGATCATGTAATTGCACTCGCCCCTTGACTAGTAAAATTGTCTGGCATTAGGTAGATTAAAATAATACAGTAAGGCATATCAAGACACATTACCACTTGTGAAGGGTAATTAACATATGTGTACTGTATATGATATTTTTGTGATGTAAAGATGTATAATGTATCATGATAATAATGTCATCTTTTATTTTGCAGAAATGATATGCATGTTTAATATACACAAGAGATGGCACTGCAGCATCAACAGGCAGAAAAACATGCAGAACAACAAGATGAATTAGTTAATTATAATACCATGCATAACATAAATAATTATATGATTATGATAACTTTATTGAAGTGTAAATAAGTTTTTAATTATAGCAATTAAAATAATACATTTTTGTTTTTTAACTTGTTTACTGCTAATAATTTTTCAAAAAAGTCAAATACACCCTTCCGGAATGTATTTCACCTTGGCTATCACAGGAGCCTCATTTTCATGTATGTGGCATGAGTTAAAGTCCAATGTCTCAACTGTGAAAAAGAGTGCCAAGGTGACATCATTTCTGGAAGCATGTATTAAAATACAGTATGTCAGTTCAGTTTCCAAAGATATGTGTGGCTTGGTACTGTAACTTGCCACCGAGCTTGCCACCCAGAAAGGGGTGTCATTGTGGAATAAATCTGCAATAAACAAGAGTAGATTAATTATGTAGGTTGTACAAAAATCCACCAGAAATTAGCATATGATCAAGGTAAACAAAAAAACAAAAGAATGTGACCAGGGGCATAGGAACCGGGGGGGGGCAAGTTTTGGCAAGTGCCATTTTTTCAGGAGCAAAGTGCCCTTTTTTTGCCTGAAAAATTTTCCATTAAAATTGCCTTTTTTGCCCAAGGGGTACTTTTGAAAACTTCAAGCTACAATATTTCCTTCGTATTTAGGAAAAAATTGTGGAATATCCGGAAAATTTTTAAGGATGTGTACGGAAAAATTTTTTGCACCCTAAAATGGTACCCTGACCGAAATTTTTTTGGCGACGGGGGGAGGTCGCCAAAAAAAGTCGAAAAGTGCCCCTCAAAGCCCCCAACTTTTCGAAGGTTCCTACGCCCCTGAATGTGACCTAACTTCTCAGATTAATTAAACTAGGGGTATCAGAACTATGACTCATTGAGTGCACTTATAAAGGTACATTGCTCATTTAATACTGAGAAAACTTGTAAGAAAACAGGCCATCCTGGAAATGAGGTTTATGTCTGTTTATAAAACGAGACCTCAGGAGTCAACCTTTTAAACATTATTACACTAGACAGTTCGCACTTTAAAGACCGTCGTAATCCTGGTATATTTGACTGAATATCGATCAAAGCTTCGTAGTTTGTAACCAAATATTTTGCGATTATGAATCACACTTGCACAGCTTGCTAAAATTAGTAAAATAGTGGGAAATTTTATACTTTACAATGTGTATTTGTACTATTTATACATAGGAAGTTGTTTTATTAACAAATAGAGTGTCAGTTTCATCGTTATGCTTATCATTTTCATGTCAAATAACTTGAAATATTAAAGGTATAAAAGTCTAAACATTTATAAAAAATTGAAATATGAAAATTTGTCTCTTTAATACCCTTCGTATAAAATCCATATTCAAGTCTTTTCCCACATTTCTTGAGGTTTTAAATTTGTTTCTCGTCTTTCACGGGCGAGAATAACACGTATGACTTGCATATCGTTGTCCAAATAGTCAAAGGTAGAAAATTTATATCGAAAAAATTTTAAAAACCGATTCAAAACCACGAGAACTAAAATATTTGCAAAACTTTTTTGCAAAAACCAGGGGTGTGTGAAAACGGCCGTGGGCTCAGAATTGAGCCTGGTCAGTGGTACCTACCATGAAAATAAAGTAAGTGTTGTCATGGAAATGGCGTCATTTTCACTCAAAATCCGCCATGTTTTTGGCGACACTTTGTTGACTGAACGAAGTATAGGAGCAGGTCCTCCAGTTATTATACAGCTCAGTGGTTCTAACGACGAGAATCGAACAAATACAGTCATAATGGGCGACTCAATTATTTCCAAATTGGCTGGATGGAAAATGTCTGACAAATGGAACAGAACAACTATTCGTTCATTCCCCGGGTCTGGAGTTGAGGACATGGCTGATTACGTCAAACCAATACTCAAGTGGAAACCAGACAATATCATTCTGCATACTGGTACAAACAACCTGCGTACTGATGAACCACTCGCTGAAGTCGAGAAAATTGTAAAGATCTGTGAACAGATCGAACAACGATTATCAAAAACTAGTGGCTATATCGGAATTAACTGTGCGGCTCGATTTCATTAAACTTGATCAAAAGCGGAAAGAGGTTAATAAAATCATCCATTCATTCGCCAAATCCCGAAACTGGAAAATAATTTCGCATGAAAATATAGACTCGAACTGTCTAAACAAAAGGAAATTACATCTTAATCCGCATGGAACAATCAGCTTTAAAATGATCTTATTAAATATAGCTAGTTTACCATTACACATTGACGAATTTCGAACATGGCTTGACAACAAGAACATAGCAGGGCCTTTTTTAACATACAAGCTGGGGGGGGGGCAACCCCCCCCCAGTCCCCCCTTGTGCCCCCCCCCACACAAAATCACATTTTGCTCCCCCCCCCAGGAAAAGTCGCTTTTCCCTAAAATCATAGAAACAAACCAGCGAAGATTAACAAATACATAAACGGAAAGTAAGTTTTAGGCGTTAGCCTTTGTCCTTGTTTAACAAAATCGATTTAAATTGTTACTTTTTCTACCACTAAGTAATGATAAATTATTGTTAATAATTTTTTTATTTTTTGGATGCTCAGAATGCAGGAAATAGCATTTCCGGGTTTCAAATTTCAAAAATTTGCTTGGGATTATCCCTCTAATAAGTAATGATAAATGATGGTTAATTTTTTAAAATTTTTGTGCGTTTTTCCCTTTATTTATTTCAGATACAAGTATAGTTAGCATAAATTTTGGAGCAAATTTAGATGCTCAGAATGCAGGAAATGACATTTCCGGGATTCAAATTTCAAAAATTTTTCTGGGGGAATACTCCCCCAGACCACCCCCATTCATGAGTGGTATATTGGCGACACACGTAGCCTTCAGTCATTGCTATCCCCTTCTAATATATTATATCACAGAAAAGTCCCTTTTCAAAAAATGGCCCCCCCCCCACGGGAAAATCCTTAAAAAAGGCCCTGGAATATAAACGTAATAGCACTTAACGAAACAAGACTGGACAACACTTTGTCAACAAACCAACTTAAAATAAACAACTATGAACTTGTTAGAAAAGACCGAAATCGCTATGGGGGAGGAGTATGTATATATATAAAAAGTCATATCAATTATAGAGTTCGACATGATTTAATTAATCCAGATATTGAAGTATAATTATCGAAATTATAAAACCAAACAGCAAACCATTTGCGATGGTTGCATCGTATAGGCCACCGGAATATTCTTTGACCAAATGACGACTATAATCAAACAGCTTGAACACGAGTCAAAAGATATATTTATATTCGGTAATCTAAACTGTGATTTATTAAGTGACAGGTCTCATAAGGCAACTTCGCTTTTAATATTCATTTGCGCAAATTTTTCAGCTTCAGCAAATTTATCAGCTTCAGCAAATTTATCAGCTTCAGCAAATTTATCAGCTTCAGCAACCTACATGCAAGATGTAGTGCAAGCACCAGAACATTAATTGATGTCATTTACACAAATTGTCCTAGTAAAGTAGCTGCACCTGGTGTTATACGCTTAGGAATAAGTGACCATGATCTTATTTATGCCATACGGAAAGTAGCTATAAAGCCTATGATGAACAAGCATATGCATAAAGTGGTCATTTCGAAAAGCACAAAAAAAAGACTCAAGGGCTTTATTAGCTACGGTGGCCCATACGGGCCAACCCTTCTCCGTACAAAGTTGCACCTTCTCCGTACAAATGTGTTGTTATTCTATGGAAATCAAACTTCTCCGTGGAATATTGCCGTTGTTCTGTCACGGAAAGCCTCTTCTCCGTACAAATATGCAGTTTCTCCGTGGAAACACGCATCTTCACCGTGGAAACACACAGCATTTCTGTGGAAACACCGCAGCTTCTCCGCGGAAACGCGTAGCATTTGAGTGAAACACGATGCGGTGGCCCGAACGGGGCACCTCTTCTCCGGAGAAACATGCAGCTTCTCCGTAGAAACACGTGTCTTCTCCGTAGAAACACGTGCCTTCTCCGTGGATGAGCACTTTCCTTGTGAATTAAAAAAGGCACGCCCCCTGAATATTTATTGGTTTTATACGACGGGGGGGGGGGGAGAGAAAATAAAATCACAACGCAACATCGTGGTCAAAACATTACAAGCCAATTTTATAAATATGAATGCTTTAAATATGGGCACAGATGCAGAGATTTTGATCGTTTATAGCTTTTGTAACAATTGTGGAAATAGAGTTGATATACTGGTAAGTATACATACTAAGTTTTACTTTTTTATATTTATGTTTAATATCATTTTTATTTGTGGATTTATACTTTTATAAATTGAATATTTAAATATACACCATATTAATCTGTCAGTCAGTCTCGTATACGGATCTGCTAGTGTAGGTATTTGTATATCCACTCAATTTATAAAAGTATAAATCCACAAATAAAAATGATATTAAACATAAATATAAAAAAGTAAAACTTAGTATGTATACTTACGAGTATCAACTCTACAAAAGCTATAAACGATCAAAATCTCTGCCTGGCAAGTCTCACAATTTATATGCTGGACATCTGTGCCCATATTAAGACTACAAAAAGCACAACAAGTATTTGAAGCACAGGGAAACAAAAAGAAATATGATTAAAGCATTCATATTTATAAAATTGGCTTGTAATGTTTTGACCACGATGTTGCGTTGTGATTTTATTTTCTCTTCCCCCCCCCCCCGTCGTATAAAACCAATAAATATTCAGGGGGCGTGCCTTTTTTAATTCACAAGGAAAGTGCTCATCCACGGAGAAGGCACGTGTTTCTACGGAGAAGGCACGTGTTTCTACGGAGAAGCTGCATGTTTCTGCGGAGAAGAGGTGCCCCGTTCGGGCCACCGCATCGTGTTTCACTCAAATGCTACGCGTTTCCGCGGAGAAGCTTCGGTGTTTCCACAGAAATGCTGCGTGTTTCCACGGTGAAGATGCGTGTTTCCACGGAGAAACTGCATATTTGTACGGAGAAGAGGCTTTCCGTGACAGAACAACGGCAATATTCCACGGAGAAGTTTGATTTTCATGGAATAACAATACATTTGTACGGAG